TGCAGTAGCTTAATCTACTGTGGAACACATCACGGCACAGAAAAACTCAAAGGTATACTTGACAAACTAGAAGTATTGTGAGGATGATACATATTGGGTACACAATGCCTGACACAGTAGATCCTGCTGTGGGGACTCTTTAAGAGGCAATGGGAATGCCCCTGCTCAGGGAATGACGTCACGTAAATAAGAGCAGTAGCTGGTGTGTATAGTGCACAATTTATTATCCACTCCTGGATGGGATGAGAAGGATTACAAGAGGAGAATTGTTTTTTTATGCCTCTTTGTTTACTGCTTGTTCTGTCCTTTTAATTGACAAAATATACGCTTGGCAGAGTGTCAAACTGGCCAAAGACAGTTCGAAAATCATCCAGTTCTAATTTTGATCCATCTATGGGCAGACTGGTTGTACTGAGGTCGATCTATCAATCAACTTCAGTAAACCAGCCTGCTGTTCTTTTTTCTTTTGTTCGATCACTGCCGGCACCTATAGCCACCAAGCAGTGATTACTGTATTCTGAAAGCTGGAAATCTTCCTGTCAGAATACAATAGCAATTCTCCCATCAACACTGAATGTGTTCATGGAGGAATTGAGCAATTTTCTTCTCTTCATTCTGTGGTTGAAGGAAAGAAAATTGCATAATGTATGGCCTTCCTCACTGTGTTGGAGACCCCTGGAGGGGATGAAGGCACAGAGGGGTGTCCATCACAGCACAGTAAAGCAAGCCATAGATTATGTGATTTTCTTTCCTGTAACACTGACTGTGTAGATGGGGGAATTCCTCCCATATGGCTATAGTGTTCTGCCAGTGGGGAACCTTCACTTGATCGACTTTAGTACAACCAGCCTGCCTATAGATGGATTGAATCTTGAATGGTCACTGCTGGACATCTATGGCTGGCTTAAGTGTATTATACAGTACATCTTGTATAAGTATGTGTATCCATAGTACAACTGCTGTACTTCTGAAAAATAATAAAAATGTATATGCATAAAAATGTATGCAGTATATTCTAAAACATTATTAATAGCAACATAAACATTTATGAGCAAACATTAGCTGTGATTCACTGGGAATTTGTTTGCTTTTTTTTGCGTATTTATACTGTATAATCCATCAACCTTCCCACATATGGCAGCTGTTCCATGTTCACAAATCACAAACACTGCGAATGATCTTCAGCAAATGGGAAGCAATTTAGTGGCAGAAAAATCTGTATTTATTGTTTGAAGGCCACTGAACAGATTTTATAGCTGTCACCAAATGAAAAAGGAAAGCAGATTAGAGTACTCATATAACTTAATAACGCACAGTATTCGCCATTTGTATAGAAAATTGCTCTCTGCACTGAGGAATAGGATGAAAGACAGGCACAGCTAAAACACAAGTTGCCTTACATATAATAGATTCTTAGTATATAATGTTTCAAGAGTTTATCAGAGCTGGTATTGTACAGATGCTGTGGTTCTAGTGGAAAATGTTGTGCTGCAAGACATTGCAGTCAGCCCCTTCTCAGTCTGATATGGCTTATTAAATAAAACAGTGTTTCTTGGCATGAACAGGTACTACCGCTGGTCAGGGTTGCTTTGTGACATAAGTGAATTCCCACCATCTTTATAACACAAGATGTAATCTTTATATTTCAAGGAAATTTCACCTTTCCTAAAGCTAGTCATACAGGAATCTAAAGTCGGCCAGTTCAGCAGGAAACAGACACATTTTGACTCATGTATTCCTGTTCATGAGAAGCCCATCTGCCAATCAACTTCTCATTAATTGGCTTGTTGATAAATTTTCTATCAATTAGAGCATACAATCGGCTGCAGCACTGATCTGTGTATTCAGAATACAATGACACATCGGGGAGGTGTTCAGTAGCAGGTTGTATGACAAAAACTGGACCATGTATGCCTGACTTAAAATGTTAGAATTTTTCTAGAAAATATAGGAATAATAATAAACCTAAAAATAATATTATGTGCACAGTTCCACTTTTCCTTAATTTTTGCCTTGTAATTCTGTGAATAACACACTTCCTGTCCTTGGGTGGTTCACTCCTCCATTTTATCAATGTCTGTCTCTGTTCTACTCCAGTGCATAAAGGATGATGGAATTAGTAGTTAACAGAAGAAATATAAGGTCCTTTATGCCTTCTTATGAAGCCCCAGTTCAGGAAAAAATGCATTTAAATTGTGCATCAATTACCTTACTCCTTTGTCTTGATTTCAAACACCTCTTCCTAAGCCATCTTGCAGTCTAAAGGATCAAAGTCACAATTTCCTCTATGAGCAAAGTTAATATTCTGCCCTGGGGAACAGACATTTTTCCCTGTTCATAATCTTCTAGGGCAGTGGTCTCCAAACTGTGGCCCTTTGCTTGCTGTTATCCGGCCCTTGGGTCATTACTCCCCCAACTGTCAGCAACACAACAGTGGAGCATAGTTCCTGCCACTGACGCCGACAATGGGGCACTAGTCCTCTAGCTGACACGAACTATAGGACATTATTCCTTTCACTGACACCAATGGTGGGGCACTATTACTCCCCCTAGTACCAATCATGGGCCATTGTTTACTCCTACTAATGGCAGGACATTTTCTTCTCCCTCTGGCCACAGTTTGCCCCCCCCCCAAAGTTTGAAGGACAGTAAACTGGCCCTTTGTTTAGAAAGTTTGGAGACCCCTGTTCTAGGGCTCCATTCAGTTCTCTTGGATCTGGATCTTATAGCTGGGGACCAGCCACTACAAATGTTTCCTCCACCAATAGGTGTTGATGCCTGAAGAAGGACCCCGGGAAGTAATGTGAAGATGACAAAGGGATTATCACGTGACCAAAGTTTCAGGTTATTAAATGGGCATCTCAATAGCTTTTTTTTCCCCCAACCAGCAGTTAGTTAGAGGGGGTGAAAGGAATGAATGGAAGGAGGGGTTACTAATACCCTGGAGTTGGCTTTAAGATCATAGAAAGTAAAAAGGAAACTGCAAACTGCATTCCTAGCCAAATTAACGTGGCATAGTGTAGCTGCCACATCCAAATACTGTAAAATGTAAAATTTTTTGTTTTTGGGTTTAGCTATAGAAAAAGAACACCCCATCCACCTATAAACAGGGATTCATTGACATCCTACAGCATCAAAGGGCTTTTTGGTATGGTCGATTCTCGTTCATCAGGTTTGGCATGAGTGTGCCAGAGTACAAGAGATTGAATCTGGTAGTGACACAGCAGCTGGTGTCTTTCTGGGCATCTTGGTCCCATGTCAGAGAGAAGGCTGGCACCCGGAAAAGAACATGTAAATATTTTTTTTTGCCATCTGTGTCCCATTGCAGATATTTCCCTATAAATTAACGGAATCTCGTGGGGACCCCCAGGCCACCAGAACTAGTGTCCCTATTGGATGATTTCCCCTCTATTAATTTTTGGGGACAACTCAAATTATAGGATTTTTTTTTTATTTTCACTTCAATGATAATGGTAAATACACGGGGGGCACAGACAGCAATACAACTGACAAGTATTCTAACTCCTCTGCACTCTATCAAAAAGTTTTAAAAAAAGTTTTGCCTTTAGTTATATTTTATACACTGCTTACGTTGTGGACACTTGCAACAAGAGGTCTGTCTGGGTTCCCTGGAGCTTATTGGGTATCGGCAAGAAACAAGCATGAATCACTGACTTTGTAAGGGGGCATGTTCTCTGATGTTTCCTGATCATGGAAGAGTTCAACATGCAACAATGTCTGACACACGGTTTTATAAAAGATATAAATATAAAGGTGATGCACTCACTGCACTGATGTGATGGTGATGAAGGTACATCAGTGGTGTAGAAGGGTCACCAGAATGCTGTGGGAACCATTCAGAGTTCGGCAGGCAAGAGGCTAGAGAGTGTACTCGGAACTGTTAGGCTGCAGTTTGGAGCACCTCCCATGGCTTGGCGGCTTCTGAGAGCTTTCAGTAAACTTTGGAAGTAGATAGTAATGATGTCATTATGTTGGAGGCGTGGGTCATCATGACACACACTGACAGTTTAGAATTGTGCACTCCCAGCCATGGTCTTCCCCTGGGCGGCGGGCGGAGGAAGAGCTGCTGGGTGTCACCCCTCTAGCCAATTTCACCCGGGTGCAGTGCACACCCTCCGCACCCCATAGTGATGCCACTGCAACAATGGGACAGAAAATGAGACAAAATCTCCCCAATAACATTAACAATCAAAACTTGACAAAGGAACTAACCTTCCACATGCGAAATTAAAATGCAGTTACAACCTAGGAGCTTTGTGTATGTGTAAGCCGTGTACCGGGGTGGGCTCCCCAGGATACAGTGAAGTCACGAACGAGGAAAGCAACCCCAACACCAGCTTTTGCCACAACAGAATTTTACTTAGATGTGGCAGATAAACACAACCACAAATGCTGGAAACATACAATAAATTTACATACACCCAGCCCAAAGGCTGAGACCCTTGTGCTGCACAGCACAGCGCCTTCTGATGGATGAAGGTAGAAAGTGAAGTAATTTACCTGCTGGCGGGCACAACTAAGCTGCCACACCTTACCTGTTATTACCCTAAAAGAGCAGGAATCAGTGTATGGGTGTACGGTATGGGCTAGCCTGTGGTGCAGCACAACAGTTTACAATCTTACACAAATCTACAGTATTCCCTCTTCCATAACTGGTCCTGTAGCACGTGCCTGAGTATTTCTTCTGAGCAAAACGCCAGTCTGGCTTGAGTTTGTAGGATTTTATCAGCTCTCCAATGTCAAATGTCACTTTAAGTTGTGGAGTCCTTCCAATGATCAGTAACAACACTTGTGGCCTGACACAAACAGAGACCCTAACTAACTAACTATAGGCCTGGACTCAGTCTCAAGGCGCCAACACTGAAATGAGGTGCGTGCATGATCTTATCGGCTCGGGTCTGCTTTTTATCCGCTGGTGACTCTGAACAGAACAAATGTCTCTCCAACAAGCATGCGGTTTCGCCGTATATGTTGCTTAGTTCCTCTGCTGCCATCAGCCTTCCTGGCAGCAATCTCATCAGCATAGTAAACAATGTGGTAGTGTGACAAGAGCAACACCACCTAGAAAAAAGAAGTTACTTAAAGATCCACGCGGAGTAATATAGGTTCAATAGTTACAATAGTTACAAAAAATACTTTATTTGATCACATAGATCATAGGGAGGTTAAGCAAAAGCACGGTGAACATATCAGACAAATAAAATCATTTAAAAGCACTTGGCGTCCTCATTTCTGGGTGATTTTGGCACATAGGGAACCATATAAGGCAATGGGGTATTCTCTAGTTATATAATCCTAGGTTTCCATATAGTTCAAGCTTGTATTTAAATTAGCCATGTATTCTTCAGACGTATTCTTGGTATAGGCCAGGATATGTAGAATAGCTTCCTGGTAAGTGGAAACTGGAACAAAAAAATATATATATGGTCTTAAATAGCACATAGATCACACCATAGCTGTCCCATCCAGAGATAAATTAGTACTTTCATTACCTTCTCAGTGATTTGGCTGTCATACCAATATGATGAATGTAGAGACTTCCTGGGTAACCACCCCAAGTGAAACAAAGTCCACAGTAACAAGTGATTCTAGAGATATATATAAAAAATTATATAGATCATACACATCAAGCAGAATCCCTGAGTAGTGAAAAACAATAAAATAAAATAAAGGTATATATTACCATCAGTGAAGATCAAGAGGACTCACGTCGACTTGAAATAGGATCAGGTCCTTAATGCTTGTTCAATAGTGCATATATAGGTGGGAAGCCAGGTAGTCTCAATACATTAATTGCAAAAAAGAGTATTATATATGTAGCAGGCACTATATACCTGAATCTATATACCCAATAAAGGGTTTCCAAAAATTGCTCAAACTGAGATAGTAAAGCGGTTCCTTAAGGATATAGCTACATCACAACGTGCAGCATATGTGTGACATAGAGTATATATATTTCCCCCTAAGAGGATTTCCAAAAATTCCCTGAAAAAACGGGAGTACTAGGCACATATATCGTTCCCTCTTAACTCCATATAAGCTCTATGAGTCTAAACAGCAACTGCCGCTAACTGAGCCAAATAAGCAAAGATAACTTGCCACCGGTGGAAGGTATGCTCCTGTTTAGGATAGCCATATGCGGACTGCTGTAATAGTAGCTTTATGGTAGTTTTTCAAAGCCTTGTGCCTTCCTAACATGGAGCTGTAACAACGCCGCTCCTTTCCTCCTCGTGGGCACCGCACCCTATGAAGACGCCGAGCGTAGTGACGTCATTACGTTGACGCCAATCACCGCGGACTTCGTCAGAACTGGGAGGGGACTTCGTTCCATTGCCTTATATAGTACACTAATTGCATACAAAGAAATCTCCATGTCGCCCTCTTGTGTTAAAAAGATATCACTACATTGAAAAGTCCAAAGTGGGTTTAACCACTTCCCGACCGGCCGTTGTATATAAACGGCCGGACGGTGGCAGTGCAGGGTCGGGTGGCCGTTTATAAACGGCCCGCCCGCATCCGAGGCTCGTGCGCGGCTCCTAGAGCGCGCACCCGCGAGCCCGGTGATCGCCGTGTCCCTCTGATACCGGCGATCACCTGACGTGGTACAGGACCGTCCTGTACCATGTGACCGACTGTGTCCAATAAGGACACAGTCTTAATGTAAATAGAAGCCGCATGGTGCGGCTTCCGCCCCCTTGACCGCGCACGCGCGTGCCCAGAGATCGCCGGGTCCCTCAGATACAGGGGATCAGGTAACATGGTACAGGACCAATGAAATCGTCCTGTACCATGTGACCAACTGTGTCCAATAAGGACACAGTCTAAATGTAAACAGAAGCCGCATGGTGCGGCTTCCGGCTCCTTCTCCTCACACGGAGTTCTGTCTGTGAGAGAAGGAGCCGGATAGCCTGAGCAAGAGCAAGCCTGATCACAAGTGTCCCTAATTGTCCCTGATCACATGTCCCTGACTGTCTGTCCCTGATCACAGTGTCCCTGATCACAGTGTCCCTGATCACGTGTCCCTGACTGTCTGTCCCTGATCACAAGTGTCCCTGACTGTCCCTGACCACAAGTGTCCCTGACTGTCTGTCCCTGACCACAAGTGTCCCTGACTGTCTGTCCCTGATCACAAGTGTCCCTGACTGTCCCTGACCACAAGTGTCCCTGACTGTCTGTCCCTGACCACAAGTGTCCCTGATTGTCTGTCCCTGATCACAAGTGTCCTTGACTGTCCCTGACCACAAGTGTCCCTGACTGTCTGTCCCTGACCACAAGTGTCCCTGATTGTCTGTCCCTGATCACAAGTGTCCTTGACTGTCCCTGACCACAAGTGTCCCTGATCACAAGTGTCCCTGATCGCCAGTGTCCCTGATCGCCAGTGTCCCTGATCGCCAGTGTCCCTGATCGTCCAGTGTCCCTGTCCCTGATCGTCCGTGTCCCTGATCGTCCGTGTCCCTGATCGCAAGTGTCCCTGATCGCAAGTGTCCCTGATCGCAAGAGTCCCTGATCGCCAGTGTCCCTGATCGCCAGTGTCCCTGATCACCAGTGTCTCTGATCGCCAGTGTCCCTGATCGCCAGTGTCCCTGATCGCCAGTGTCCCTGATCACAAGTGTCTCTGATCACAAGTGTCCCTGATCACAAGTGTCCCTGATCACAAGTGTCCCTGATCGTCAGTGTCTCTGATCACAAGTGTCCCTGATCACAAGTGTCCCTAATCACAAGTGTCCCTGATCGTCAGTGTCTCTGATCGTCAGTGTCCCTGATCGCCAGTGTCTCTGATCGCCAGTGTCCCTGATCGCCAGTGTCCCTGATTGCCAGTGTCCCTGATCACAAGTGTCCCTGATCGTCAGTGTCTCTGATCACAAGTGTCCCTGATCACAAGTGTCCCTGATCGTCAGTGTCTCTGATCACAAGTGTCCCTGATCACAAGTGTCCCTGATCGTCAGTGTCTCTGATCACAAGTGTCCCTGATCACAAGTGTCCCTGATCACAAGTGTCCCTGATCGTCAGTGTCTCTGATCACAAGTGTCCCTGATCACAAGTGTCCCCGATCACAAGTGTCTCTGATCACAAGTGTCCCTGATCACAAGTGTCCCTGATCGTCAGTGTCCCTGATCACAAGCGTCCCTGATCACAAGCGTTCCTGATCGTCAGTGTCTCTGATCACAAGCGTCCCTGATCACAAGCGTCCCTGATCACAAGCGTCCCTGATCACAAGTGTCCTTGATCGTCAGTGTCCTTGATAGTCAGTGTCCCTGATCGTCAGTGTCCCTGATCGTCAGTGTCCCTGATTGTCAGTGTCCCTGATCGTCAGTGTCCCTGATCGCCACACAGCGGCCCAGCTGTGTCCCTGATCACTGCATAGCGTCCCAGTGTCCCTGATCTCCACACCAGCAGGTCTTGATCACCTCCACACTACCAGGTCCTGATCATCATACCACCAAGTCTTGATCACCGCCACACCTGCAGGTCCCAATCACAGCTATACCAGCGGGTCCTGATCGCCGCCACACTAGCAGATCCTGATCACAGCCATACCAGCAGGTCCTGATCACCACCCCAGCAGATCCTGATCACCACCAAACTAGTGGGTCCTGATCCCCGCCATACCAGCGGGTTCTGATCGCCGCCACATCATTGGATCCTGATCGCTGCCAAACCCATGGGTCCTGATCACCACCATACCAGTCCTGATCACCTGAGAGCCATTACAGCAAACTGTGAGTACTTTTTAGTCTTTGCACACAGTTTACACACACACTCACAAAACATTGCCTGCCAGCTCATGGTATCTCTGATCACACATTTGGTATCGCCATATTCATGAAGAGTTATAGAATGTGTTTTGGGGTGTAATTTTAAGTATGCCTATGTTGTATAATAGAAAATATCTCATAGATTGACAACTTTGCGTAAAAAAAAAAACATTTTCATTTTCTTTTCACATTTTCCAAAAACTTTTGGCAAAAAATGCAGTCTTCAGAAGACTCCACATGACTCTTAAAATATACCTTGGAGTGTTTGCTTTCCAAAATGGGGTCATTTAGTGGGTAATTCCATTGTCCTGATGCTCCAGGACCTCCAAAATGGCATTAGGTAGTCAAGAAATTAGATGTGTCATTTTTTCCCCTAGAACTGCAAAAGATGCTTATTGGATGTGGAGCCCCCTATGTGGCCAGACTGTAAAAAAGTCTCACACATTTGGTATCGCCATATTCAGGAAGAGTTATAGAATGTGTTTTGGGGTGTAATTTTAAGTATGCCTATGTTGTGTAATAGATATATCTCATAGACTGGCAAGTTTGCATAGAAAAAAATACATTTTCATCTTCTTTTCACATTTTCCAAAAACATTTGGCAAAAAATGCAGTCTTCAGAAGACTCCACATGACTCTTAAAACATACCTTGGGGTGTTTTCTTTCCAAAATGGGGTCATTTTGTGGGTAATTCCTTTGTCCTGGTGCTCCAGGACCTCCAAAACTGTGATAGACAGTTAAGAAATTAGATGTGTAATTTTTGCCCCTACAACGCCTAAGGGTGCTTATTGGATGTGGGGCCCTTCTATGTGGCTAGGCTGTGAAAAAGTTTCACACATTTGGTATCACCATACTCAGGAAGAGTAGCAGAATGTGTTTTGGGGTGTAACTGCAAGTATGCCTATGCCGTGTGAGAGAAAGAACTTGTTAAATTGACAACTTTGTGAAAAAAAAATTAAAATTATTTACTTTCATCATTTCCCCTTAAAAAATTTGCAAAAAATTACAACTTCAAAAAACTCTCCTTGCCTTTCATTAAATACCTCAGACTGTCTACTTTCCAAAAAGGGGTCATTTGGGGGGTATTTGTATTGTCCTGGCATTTTAGGGCCCTGAGAAACTATATAGGTAGCCAGTACATCAGGATTGATAAATTTTCAAATATATCAAATATATATACCGTGGTCTGTGGACTCTATAACTTTAATACAGACTAAATAATACAAACTGATTTGGGTTATTTCTACCAAACAAAGGTAGCACAATGGATTTTGGCCTAAATTAATGAAGAAAGTATATTTATTTGCAAAATCTAGTAACAAAAACGAAGAAAAACATGTTTATTTTCAAAATGTTCAGTCTTTTTCCACTTTTCTAGAAAAAAAAATAAAACCCCCAGTGGTGATTAAATACCACCAAATGAAAGCTCTATTTGTTTTTGAAAAAAGATGATAAAAATTTCATTTGGATACAGTGTCGTATGCCTGAGTAACTGGCATTCACAATGTGAGAGCACTGAAAGCTGAAAATTAGCCTGGTCAGGAAGGGGGTAAAAGTGTCCGGTCTGGAAGTGGTTAAAAAACATATATTGACTGCTGGCAATACAGAGGAAGGCCTTATTTAAATAAACAAGTCCGTCTTTGATCAGAATAGAGGAACAGAGAGGATAATTATGATTCTGACAACACAGGGGGAGGGGGTACAGGGAACATCAGAGCCAAGTAAAGAATCTGAGATATCTTTACTTTTTATAGTCTTTATAGACCTCAAAGAGGTCCATTTAATCCGTTGGGGAAAAGGTCAAGCCTTTTCATAATAAATCATAATGTCTTTTTTTCAACACAAACTTAGATAAGTTTATTACCTTCAGATCGTTATTCCCATCCTCTGGATTATCTTTTACCTTTTGTGACTTCTGGTCCGATTTTGGTTGAGCGGTTTCAGGGCAGCTGTAGCACTTCTTTCCTCCTTTGTCCCATTTACTTGCTTGTTTGTCTGTTTTAATATACCCTGATTTTCGCCTACCGTTTTTTCCTCTAAAAAACTAACAGATCTCTTGTTAATTTCATCATCATCCTCACTCACTGACGAATATTGTCTATTGTTCCTAGAGAAATGTCTCTTTATACTTTTGCCTGTGTTATATTGCCCATATGGATATCTGTTTAAATCAAGGAAATAAAGGCTCCCCGGGGTAAAATATAATTTTGGTATGACGAATCTGAGGGGACCAAATAGAGAACTCAACCTGAGGTGGGGTTCGCCTTACATCAGATTGAACCTCTATAATAATAATAAAAACAGTTTTTGAAACAGAGATTCTTTACTTGGCTCTGATGTTCCCTGTACCCCCTCCCCCTGTGTTGTCAGAATCATAATTATCCTCTCTGTTCCTCTATTCTGATCAAAGACGACTTGTTCCTCTGTATTGCCAGCAGTCAATATATGTTTTTAAACCCACTTTGGACTTTTCAATGTAGTGATATCTTTTTAACACAAGAGGGCGACATGGAGATTTCTTTGTATGCAATTAGTGTACTATATAAGGCAATGGAACGAAGTCCCCTCCCAGTTCTGACGAAGTCCGCGGTGATTGGCGGATGAAACGCGTCAACGTAATGACGTCACTACGCTCGGCGTCTTCATAGGGTGCGGTGCCCACGAGGAGGAAAGGAGCGGCGTTGTTACAGCTCCATGTTAGGAAGGCACAAGGCTTTGAAAAACTACCATAAAGCTACTATTACAGCAGTCCGCATATGGCTATCCTAAACAGGAGCATACCTTCCACCGGTGGCAAGTTATCTTTGCTTATTTGGCTCAGTTAGCGGAAGTTGCTGTTTAGACTCATAGAGCTTATATGGAGTTAAGAGGGAACGATATATGTGCCTAGTACTCCCGTTTTTTCAGGGAATTTTTGGAAATCCTCTTAGGGGGAAATATATATACTCTATGTCACACATATGCTGCACGTTGTGATATAGCTATATCCTTAAGGAACCGCTTTACTATCTCAGTTTGAGCAATTTTTGGAAACCCTTTATTGGGTATATAGATTCAGGTATATAGTGCCTGCTACATATATAATACTCTTTTTTGCAATTAATGTATTGAGACTACCTGGCTTCCCACCTATATATGCACTATTGAACAAGCATTAAGGACCTGATCCTATTTCAAGTCGACGTGAGTCCTCTTGATCTTCACTGATGGTAATATATACCTTTATTTTATTTTATTGTTTTTCACTACTCAGGGATTCTGCTTGATGTGTATGATCTATATAATTTTTTATATATATCTCTAGAATCACTTGTTACTGTGGACTTTGTTTCACTTGGGGTGGTTACCCAGGAAGTCTCTACATTCATCATATTGGTATGACAGCCAAATCACTGAGAAGGTAATGAAAGTACTAATTTATCTCTGGATGGGACAGCTATGGTGTGATCTATGTGCTATTTAAGACCATATATATTTTTTTTTGTTCCAGTTTCCACTTACCAGGAAGCTATTCTACATATCCTGGCCTATACCAAGAATACGTCTGAAGAATACATGGCTAATTTAAATACAAGCTTGAACTATATGGAAACCTAGGATTATATAACTAGAGAATACCCCATTGCCTTATATGGTTCCCTATGTGCCAAAATCACCCAGAAATGAGGACGCCAAGTGCTTGTAAATGATTTTGTCTGATATGTTCACCGTGCTTTTGCTTAACCTCCCTATGATCTATGTGATCAAATAAAGTATTTTTTGTAACTATTGAACCTATATTACTCCACGTGGATCTTTAAGTAACCTCTTTTTTCTAGGTGGTGTTGCTCTTGTCACACTACCACATTGTTTACTATGTATTTTCCGGTTTATATATCCACACTTCTATGATAAGTGAGTCGGAGATAGTACTAGGACACAAATTATTTGTGCCTTTACAGGTGGCTTTTTTCTGTTCTATTTTTGTGAATCTCATCAGCATTCCTGGCAGCAATCTCATCAGCTTCCTGGCAGCAATCTCATCAGCTTCACTTAGCTGAAGCTCTGGTTACGGAGGGACGCTTTCACAGCTGGATGTCATCAGATTCTCAGCTCACAGGGCCCCTTATTCACCATGCTCCAAAACATGGCTTCTCTCTCTCCTTCCTGTTCTCTCCAACTCTGTGTGCAAAGAAACCCCACCTCTTCATGAATATACAAATATCTATGCAGTCTGAGGCTGTGTTAGAAAAACAGTGACATCTTGTGGCTAAACCGTAGAATGTCAGTCAAAACATTAATTTACTTCCACACAAACAGTGTTCAAACAATGAGAGCTGTTTTCCTATCTCACATATGTCTAAGACTAAGACAGTTTAAACTCCAACTGAACTTCCAGTTTGAAACGTCTAAATAGATTCCAGGTGCATCAAAACAGAAATGCTTGGTTCACACAGGTGGCAAATGGTTGGTAACAAAAGGAGGTTAATCAGTGTTCTTACTGCCCCTGGCTGCTCACCCCCAAATTCATCTGAAGGCCAAATGGGTGAGTAATGATGCTTTGCTTTATTGTGCAGCATTTGTTATCGGCATGTTGAGTTTGAAAGGTAGCCTGGCCTGTCAAGCTCACCCAAGTCAATGTGCCACAACCACATACCAAATGCAGCCATGGCACTTGCGATGTGGTAGTCCAATGTAAATTTCCATTAAGATATAAAAAAATCTACTGGGGATCAAAAAACAGGTATACAGAAGGTGGCAGTATCCATAAAAAGATCCACCATGGATCACTTTTCAGAGGGCACTAAAGTCTGCTGACTGTATGAAAGAGGTCACAACCGTAGAAAAGCCTGTGAAAAAAAAAAAATCCTCCACCAGCATGATGCAGAAAAGGACTCTTGCTCTCTGGGTGGAAGCAGTAGTCTCTCTGCAAAGGACCAACACACCCTTTTCTAAGTCAGAGCTAGAGCTCTCCAAACAGCAAGGAACATGAGCTTTGGTAAACACAGAGATATCTACTCTCTGACTCAGCAGGGAGTGCGTTGTACCTCTGCAGAGAGACCACAGCTTACACCCAAAGAGCAAGGTTCCTTCACTGCAAATTGTTGGAAGAGAACAGGCTTTTCTACTCAAACTGAAAGCCTTTACAGACTTTTTGTTTTGATGAGTCTGGAATTTATTGCACTGATTTTAAGAACAGCTCAGTGAGGTTTTGAAATGTATTAAGAAATGTCTAGCATTCAATATAATAACCGTTTTTATTGTTTTGTGCCTTTTTATAGCAGGAATTAAAGTGAGCAGAGCATTAACTTATCTACTTAAGTATACAAAGTTGAAATATGTACTGTGTATGTTAAGCCATCACATTCTCCAAAATATATAGTCATCACCTACTGCAAAATGTTTAATGTAGCATTAAATAAGATGTTTCACTTCCTGCAGAGTTCCCATTTAAATTCCATTTGGAGCTACTAAGAGAACTGTGTAATATCCACATGGCTTGGAAATCTCTGTTGATTTTAAGCAGAACACAGGATATTGCCTCCTTGATCTAATTTATCCTTGAAATAAAGTAAAGACACATAAGACAATCTAAACAATGGCACCTATTAATGGATCTGGTTACTCGTGTGCTTACAGAAAAATACCATTTTACTACAGTTATTTTCTGTATGGAAACATTACTCTATATGTCTTCCGATATTACATTCCTTGGGAGGGAATGAGTAATGGTATAATGCCTGCTAGCATGGCAAGGGGATGCTTCCAGAAGCCCAAAGCAATCTATGTGTCAAAAGTACTCATAGTCAAATATAGAATACAAAATTAAAATAAAGGCTAATCAATGGCAAGAGAACAGGACTAGCTGCATTCTTAAAGGCAGATATAAAAATACACCAATGAACGCAGTTAGGGCTCATGTACACTGCAGCTGATAAACTCATGTTTAGGAGCTTTTCTGTGTTTTTTCAGCAGCCCCTGAACTCCCCCTAATGTTTTCCTATGTGTCCATGTACACATCGTTGTTTACAGGCAGTTGAGTTTACAGTCTTTTGCGTTTAGAAGCATTGTTTTTTAACTGTTCCATACATGCATGCAAAGTGTTTTCCATGTATTCCAATGGACCTAGCACACCAGCGCAGTCAGTTCCAGGTTTTGCGTGAAGGAAAAAAATGGTAGAACGTGCTGTATTATACTCATGATGGGATCCATAGTGAATACAACCAGAAAAGACAGCTAATCTCAACACATACTGCTCTCTCTGCTTCTGCTCTCTCTATTTCTCTCAAAATGTCTGAAATAGTTAATTGTTTACTGTTTTTCAGTGCATTCTGGGCATTTTGGAAGATCTCCTGAGGTTATCTTAAAAAAACGCTCATAAATGCACATAAACGCGGTATGCAAATGCAGCTAAACAGACATTTTTTTAACCTACATTTTCCAGCAGTCAGTTTCCATCGTTTAGAAGAGTTTTCCAAACGTCTCGTGTACATGGAACCTTATATGTTTATTAAAAAATCCTGATAGTTATACTAAAAAAACTTGGGGTGCAACACCAGCTTCCCATCCGGTCACTTACACAGAAGGGTGCCAGCATGGAGATAGCCCAACTTGGCTCGGTTTTTACAACAAAACTTCAGCTTCAAGTAATGCTGAGAGTTCAGGGGTCATATCAGGAGAAAGTAGTTTACCGATTGCGCCTGGTTACCCTTCTTCCCTGTACAACATCCACCTTCTGTTTCCTGGTCATCAGCATCGTCAACATGATCTTGGCATGAGTAACATTGCAGTGCAATGGCTGCAACTCTCATTGCACTGTGCAAATGTTAATCCTAAATGACCCCTCTGGAGCTGCCTGAGCATGTGCAGCAGATTTCTGTAATTCACCATGCACATGCAGTCCACTCTAGCGGCTCCATTTAGGATGAATGCTTGGAAAGTGTGATGAGTTTGAGCCTGCACACAGCATCCATGGACCTCCATCGTCCAGAGATGCCTATCTCCTGGAGACAGGCTCCTCCTCACTGTCTCCAGGAAATGGGAACAAATAGTAACCCAACTTGAAATTTAGTTCTACAAATACTGTATTGGAGTGGAGCTTGTGTGGAGAAATACTAAATGACTGGCTGTGCAGGACTATAGGGGGACCCAAATTCATCAGCAATCCCTAAGGGGGTAGTGCTACATAAACAATTACCTTCACTGACTTTTAAGCCTCAACTATTATTATTATTATACAGGATTTATATAGCGCCAACAGTTTGCGCAGCGCTTTACAAAATGAAGGTAGACATTACAGTTACAATACAAATTGGTACAAGACGAAACAGAGGGCCCTGCATATTAGAGCTTACAATCTAGGAGACTATAAACTGATGTGCCAGGAGTCCCGCTAACAGAATGAAAGGCAGTGCGCAATGTTTGCTCTGCAGCAATTTGTGTACTTATGGAATGGTACACAGGGGTGGGCAAAGTGATGTCACAGCATCTCAGATGACTGCAGTGTCAGCTGCTGGACCTGATTCAGACCTCATTAGGACAATGGCCTACAAAAAATGAAACTTCAGCTCTCTGCTTCAGATCTAGGATGTAATAATCTATAACAGGGCTACAGGGCATTCCAAAACAGCATTAGCAGATTTACAACATGCTGCATATGTGCAAATATTATACTTTGCTTTATAGTGGAAGAAAAATAACCAAATTGAAATAAAAACACACAAAAACAATATATATAGTATTTCCTTGTGGACAAGATAACTTTAAGAGTTTATCTAGTAAAGGGGCAATCAATTGGTGTAGTCCTGCAAAGAAAATAGACAAAAATGTATAAATCAAACTCCCTATTTACCAAAAAATCTATGAAAATTGCAGATTCTGGATAAGAAAATTTCCTGTACCATGATCTGAGAGCAAAGAAAATGTCTCTCTTGTGTAGTTTGTTATTTAGCAAGTGGATCTCTACAACTAACAGCAGAAATCCAAACACAAAAACATAAATAAAAGATCTTGTGCAGAATTGTTACAAGGGATTGTTACCCAAAATGTGGCAGTCATAATAAAGCCTGCACGTTGACAGTGTCAGCAGATTTCCACATCTGAGATCCTGAATAAAGTCTACCTTAAAGAATAAACAACTGTTTTTATTCTACAAGGTAGACTTTTCTATGGGGATCTTTTCTATGGGGAATAATTTCTTTGTTTTTGAAAGTAACCTCACTTTAAACGTTTGCACATAGATATCCAAATTTATATATAGCGCTCAGCATAAATGAGTACACCCCTTTTGAACAGTAAGATTTTAATCAATATCTCAATGAACATAAGAGCTATTTCCAAAATTTTTACAAAACTGAGTTTTATAGAACATTTGTTTAGCTCATTACATGAAAGTAAGGTTAATAATATAATTTAGATTACAAAATCTTCAGTTTTACTCAAATGAATTGTTTCATTTTTCAAGAACGACCTCTAGAGCCTGGATGCTGGATGGAGAGTGATGCTCAACTTGTCTCTTCAGAATTCCCCATAGGTGTTTGGTTAGGTTCAGATCAGGAGACATACTTGGCCACTGAATCCCTTTCACCCTGTTCTTCTTCAGAAATGCAACAATGGCCTTAGATGTGTGTTTTGGATCATTGTCATGTTGGAAAAGTGCACAACCACCAAGGGCATGGAGTGACGGTAGCATCTTCTCCTTTAATATAGAGCAGTACATCTGTGAACTCATGATACCGATACCAGCAGCACTCACGCAGCCCCACAGAAGGATACTGCCACTATCATGTTTCACTGTAGGCATCATGCATTTTTCTTTGTATTCCTCCTGTATTGCCATACAGTTTTGAAGCCATCAGTTCCAAAAACATTTATCTTGGTCTCATCACACCAGAGTACAGAGTCCCGGAAGTCTTCTTTTTCAGCATGAGCCCTGGCAAATTCTAGGTGGGCTTTCTTGTGCATAGGCTTTAGGAGAGGCTTCCTTCGTGGATGATACCCATGCATGCCATTCCTCTGCAGTCTACAACGTATTGTGTCATGGGAAAGAATCACCACAGTTTGGCTTTCTACTTCTTTAACTAACTGCAGTGAACTTGCATAGTGATTTTCTTCAACCCTTCTCATCAGAAGATGCTCCTGTGGAGGTGTTAGCGTCTGTGAATGGCCAGAATGTCTCTGTGAGATGGTTGCAGTTCTATCATTGTTTAATT